TTTACCCTTCTAGTTTCTTCTATCCACACCTGCTCTCTATCAGTCGATTAACCCATTCTTTATTTTATCTCCCATATAAACACCTTACGTGCAGTTCGTCCTTGCTGGATTATCTTCATTACTTAATTACTTTGTTCCTTTGAGTTATTCTCCCCTACCCACCCACACTCTCCTAAATGCTGGCTCCATTTGGATACACAGCTTCTCCAAGTGGATATATAGGGCCTCAGTCTTTTTTGGAATACCTCTGCTGACACATCAATGACCGCGTGTGCTAATGAGTCTGAGAGGTTGAATATTTTTAGCTTCAATAAAGCAGAAATTATGATAAAAGCATCTTTTAAAGTGCTACTATTAAATCAGTTTCCTTAATTTGTCTTATTCTAGATTTTGGATAAGTCATATTTCATTTGAAAAAGAAATTGCATAATGTCACGTTTAGCATACTAATACCCTGATTTTTCTCTTGTCCTTGAAAAAAAAAAGACGTTCCAAGCTCTGTTTGGCAAAAAATCCTCCCCAGAAATCATGTGTAAATCCAAAGGATGTATCCACTGTTTACCATTTATCCAAGATACAGATCTAAAAGGGAAAATCTGACTTTCCTTTTTCCTCTTCCCTTAAAATATCTCGCTCTTTTCAATAAGGTATTTCATGGCAGAAAAGGATATAGCTGACCCAAAACTTATCTGTATCACTTGCATGGGTTTAATAGAGTTTAATTAAATCACGACACATGTACATTTTCTTTTTAACACTTCTTAGTCATTAAGATATCAGATTTTGTGTATTTTGAAACGCAAAATTAAAAGTAAAATCTAATCTTTCCTTTATCATTTCTCAAGCCACCTTGAAACACTTTCCAGGCTTGCTGCTTATGTTTTATAGCTGTAATAACGAGACATAAGCTCTCCTTTTTGTAAATAAGAACCTATTCAAGTGATTCTTGTGAGGTTTTTGTACTCTGTGTCATAAACCCAACAAACACCAATAAAAAGCTTTAATAATTAATTCCTGACATATTAATGGTCACTTTCACATGAATGGAAAGTTTACTTAGCAAATGAGACTGTATCCTGAGTTTATTTTCCACTACAAGCCTCACTAACACCTCTTTTAACCAACACTATAATAATCACACAGGAAAAATGGCTGCCAGTTATTACCTCCTCCCTTTATAAGAGACCTAATCTAATATACAAGAGGAAGCCTGTTTGACAGAGTAAGTGATACCATAATTAATGCTGTATCCCATCAGCTGCTGTTTATTTGGTGGTTATGACGTGTAACACGTGTACTGTTGTCTGAAGCATGATTAAAAGTTTTAATGATAACCAATTCCTTCTCATGTGTTTCATTTTATTAGAAAGCCATATGTTATTATTTTCTTTTTAACATTTTCACTGAGCTTGTTTTAATGTTTCACATCATTACAAAAACCATATTTATTTAATCTTCTATAAATCCTCTGTCCAGCATGGAAAACAGGCTAACAGGAAATGCTGGGAATCCGTCTACAAGACTCTACTAAGCAGACTGTACTTCCTAAGGAAGCTTAGGTCATTTATTATCTGCAATGAGATGCTACAGTACATATCTCCTGTAAGTCTGTTGTGTTGCTTGTGATCTAAACTATCCATTGCAGTAGTATTATAGGAACAAAAAAGAAGCCAATCAAACAAATAAAGATGTTTCTTTATGAACAACACTTTATTCTGAAGACTTTTGAACAATAGTAAAGTGTTTTGAGCCAGAGGCTTAGATCTACTGCAAGACAGACTGCTGCAGGACATCATTCCTGCCAACAGCAAGCAGCCTACAAGGGCTACAACATTATATCATGCCCTTCTGGAACAATTACGTATCTCTTAAAATAAATTCTCTTTCAGTGGTTCACTTTATTTTTGTTACTACCTCTGGAATCTCCTTTAAGACTTTTGGAAAACCATTTCATGGGACTACCTCCTGGAACTCATTGAGAAAATTTCCGGCGTATATATAAGGATTTATTCTGTTTATTCTTTTACATAATTCTATATACTATTGCTTATTGTTTGAAACACTTTATAATTTAGACAGAAATAGAAATAGGAAATTCCATTGAACGAGTTCTGCCCAAAAGTTTTTAATGTAAACAAAAGTGTTTGACAGGATCACACGGGTTTTTGCAACCTTGACATATGAAAAAGTATTTCAAATGCTACTTGCCGTTTTTTTTAAAGTTCTGTAACCAAAGACATAAAAGATATGATTTATCATTTTTGCTTTATTTATCAGCAGAACATGCATTTAGTAGGTAAAGTTGTTTCTTCTTAAATTTAAGTGAAAACTATGAACATGCTTTCTTGCAGCTGAACATCTCAGTGATCTATGCAACGCGTGCCAAATGCATGGAAAGCTACGTGTTGGAAAAAGCAGCAGCTGCTAAGTTAACTTACACCGCAGGGTTCAGTTAGTCATTAACCCATCTTCAGCTGAGTTTGCGTGTGCTTCTTTTAACACAGGGAGGGTTTGGAGAAAGACTCCTCCTTATAAAAGAATGTTCCTAAGGGTTTTATGTAAAAAGT